AATCACAAAACAAAAATATATTAATCTTTCTCTAATAACTAAAAATTAACTAAAGAATATTATGATAATAGATCTAGTAGATATGATTAAATAGGACATACTGCAAAGTGATTTATTGACGGTAATAATACTAAAATAAACGTTTTGTGTTGACATTTGTTCGGATATTTGTACAAATGTAAATAATTGATCAGATGTATTATTATCGTTATTAAATACGACATCTAAACTGTATACATAAAAATCACGACTTGTATTCACATAAACACAATCTGGTAAAGATATAAATGGTGCAAAATTTATGTCAAACCCCATAGCAAGATTCATTCCATAAACAATGAACTGATCATTACCAGCAATACGTACACCATGTGCATTATCATCACTAGTGTCGTACACAATAACACATACAATTGGTTTCAATATTAATAATAAAATAAATATACCAATAAACATTTGATCAATCTAAATATATAAGAAATTATAAAATATGTTTTGTTCATTATATACGTTAAGAAGTAGCTGAATTCGAAAATACAAAACTTATTTTTCATTGCATTGATCGATATTTGCCTCACTTGTTAATGATATCCATAAAATATTATGATATTGCGCATATACTTATAATCGATTCATTTTTTTTATTGCTATTTATTTGATTTAGTTATTCATATATTTACTTGAATAAGTATTTAATAGAAATTTTATGCAAAAATCAAATCAAATAGAATGAAGAAGAATATCTAAGGCTTCAAAGTACTTTACTACTCAACAGAATAAATAAATAAATAATATATTTTATTATTCTTTCATCTGTATAAAAATCAATTACTGTCCAATAAAAGCTATTTTCTGAAAGAAAGGGTTATAGGCTCGTTAAACAGGGTCGTTAAAATGCTTAAAGTTTGTTTGTCCAACAAGCCAATCAGATTATAGCATTGTGTAAGTCAATGAAAACTTACGAGTGGCCATCAGATAATGATTGACCAAAGGTAATCGGGGTCCAGGAATCCGAATCTGATGTTAGTTTTTGCAAACTGTACAAGTAAAAAGTTCAATAGTATTACACAACACTTTTTCTACAAGAAAGAGCTGAGCGAGTCTCCAGCCGAGCATTACTTGTTAATAATAATTATAAAAATTTAATAATAAATTGACATTTTATTTATTTTTTTGTAGCATAACACTTTCGCTATACTCTTGCATCAATCAGAAAAGAAGAGAATAATCGGCTATGAATACTATATAACTGTTTGACGATGTACTAAATGGTCTATTATCTATTATTCATCATGATGTCCATTTAAAAGAACAAAAAAATCAAAAAAATCCTTTGTGTTAGGTTATTTGTTCTTTTACGTCGTACATTTCATATCGGGCACATTATTCTACTTCACTCATAAACATATATTGTTCAATGAATGTCATCAGGATAAAAATCTTTGACTTCCTATTTTAAAAGGAAAGAAAATGAAGAAATCAACTAACAATAAAAAAAAGTGCGAAGAACTTCGGTTCAGTATAGATTTTTTCTCAAAGTCTTTTATTTTCATAATATACTGATAGCAAAACAAAGGTTTACTTGTAAACCCCTCCCTATAATAGAAGTTCCCTCCGAGACGAGCAACGTGTTTGACGTATTAAAAGTCCTTCTACTTTTTCTAGAAAAATTTAAAAGTTTTTGAGATTTTGTCGAATTTTCTGCTAAAACTTCTCGATTATAAGTAGTGACGTAACAAGGGGGGCTCAGCCCCGCACCCACAATTTGACTTTAAAATTTTTTTAATGAACTAGGATCATTCAGAATAGCCTTAACTGTTGAATTATCGATGGTGTTAATGTAATATACACTCAGAGATGCAGAATCTTCCGGAAAATCAAAAATTTCTCCGAAAAATGTAGTTTTTGAAAAATTTTCCTCCCCCTCATTCGTGATTTTCTGATTGAGCCACTAGTTGAATGATCGCTTGAAAGAACTGTGCTCTATTGTGAGAACTAAGCATTCGTGGTAGATAACTCGGTAATGATTTTGAATATTGCACTAAATCAATCTGCTCAGGAATTACACGAAGAGAATTTCCAGTAATATAGCGATCAATAAGATCATTCGATTCTTGTGTTTTAAGTCCAACTGTATTGTTATGTTGCGACATGTTTGAAGAGAATTGTACTTATTTGAAAGAAACTATAGCGTGCTTTATACTGATAGTGATAGATGATTGATGACTCATATATTTCAGAGATTAGGAGAATAGAAAGGATGTGGATGTAGATAACGACACGGCAATCAACCCCATACAATACGTTACACATGCAAAATGTTTAGAGTTTTATTCAAGAAAAATCATTTAGCAAATGCATGATGCATCATGATGATTGTCACTCAGTTTGATCTTTTTATTAACATGTTCATATTTTTTCGATTGGATGATACCTTTGTCAAGCCATATACTGATTGAAGATTTCTCTCGCTTGTATGTTGAACCTTCTCTGTATTTTACAAACCATCCAAATATTGCGTCTATATTTGATGGACAATGGAAGTGGAATGTAATACTTGATAAATGAGGAAGTCGTTTAAGAACAAGTTTCATTTCATCGACATGCTTAATTGCTGTTGTCAAGTATTTGACATAAGAAGGAATCATACAACAAATATTATCAGCAGTCCAAAATTTGTACGTATGAGAATCATAACTGATACCCAGCGATATTAAAGAAGATGTTCTTTAGAGAAAATTGGCGATACTAGCTCGTATATTTCGTCTTGTTTTATATACCGTTTGACCCGTGAACTTAATTTGAACAATTGATGATAGATCGACTAGTGTCGAAACGGTTAGAATCCAGTTTGAGTGTG